GTTTTTACATGTAATTGGGGAAAACAAATATTAAATTAAAATAATATATATATATATATATATCAAAGTACTTAAGATTAAAAGTAATATATAATCAGGCAAAAGAAAAGAAAGGACATCCCTAAGGATTTTTTTTTTCTGTAATGGGAGCCAGCCATAGCAAAAAGAATGTGTCTAAAGGAACTCCCTTATTTTATACAGATTATGATAATGAAAAACATTTTTTGTTTTTTTTTATCTGATAAGATGTTTGATATGGTTACAAGTTTTGTTTCCACTCTTCTGATGACATGTTATGAATTCTATAATGCTTAAACCTAAGAGCTATAAAAGTGAAAATACCTACCACACCTAATCAGAATGAGGAAATTTAGAAATCAGTTCATGTAGGTTCCATTTAAATTTTCTCAGAATGATTTTCTCTGTAAAGTAATTTAGAGATTCATTCAACTGAATTGAGATAACGACTAGAAATGGGTTTTGTTTTATGTTTCAAATTTATAATATTGTTTATGATACTGTGCAGATATGCTTTTAGGAACAGTTTTTTTCTAATCTGGATGTTGCTACATTATGAGCTTAACTTTAAAAAAAGGAAAATGTTTGCAAACTATTAATATTCTGAAGTCCTTGCCTATAGTAAAGAGGAAGTTTCATCTAAAATCATTTGGCTACACTTTGGAAAAATTTAAGATTATTGGTTATTAGGGGCTATTATAATAAGGCCAATCTAATTGGGTATATTTTTGGCATTGTTTCACCTAGAAAATTGAATCTCCTTCCCCGCTGAAAACATTTTTTGATGAGAGGGGGTGGTAATTAGGAATTTATTTATAGTAATTAGGAATTTATAGCATAAGATTATTGTGAATTATGAAGTTATATCAGGATGGTCTATATTTAAATTACATTTTAACCAACATAGTCTTAACATTAAAGATTAGACAGATATCTGTCAGTTTAGAGGTTTCCAGCTATATTACTTCATGGAAGTCTAATGATTATCTTTTTATATCAGGACAAATTTTAAGCTATTTTTGAGAAAGACAAATACTAATAGAAGGGAATGTTAAGTAAAAATCTTTTGTGTGATAAATTCTATTTGTTAGCTAATTTATTGCAACAACTATCCCCACTGCACTATTTAACTGGTACTGTGAAGATTGTGACAATAATCTGCCCTATAATTCTGTTTAGTATTCCAGTTCTTTGGAGTTGTAGGTTACTGAGGCTGAAGCTCCCTTCCCGAAGCACATCATTCCCTTGATCTGAATACAGGGCATGCCCAAGGGGAAGTCTTGGCAATTTAAGATTACAAAATTTCTACTTTATCTGAGACAATCACTCATAGCCAGTAAGATGTAAATGGGTCAACAAGCACCCAAGCCCACACTGACCTGCCTCTCTGAATTGTTTCAAGAAAAGCTTTTTGGTTCTTGGTCTGAAGGTGGTAAACTCTTGCTGGTTAGGGAAGTTTCCAAAGCAAGGTTGTTTAGTCATTTTCAGTTGTGTCTGACTTTTTGTGATCCCTTTTGGGGGTTTTCTTGGCAAAGATACTGGAGTGGTTTGCCATTCCCATCCCTAGCTCATTTTACAGATGAGGAAACTGAGGCAAAAAGGGTCAAGTGACTTGCCTTGGGTCAGAGTACTTTTTTTTTCTACTTTTAAAAATTTTTTTTCCCCTTTCCAGAACTGTGATCTTCTGAACTTCAAAATCATGTCTCTACTCATCCTGGAACTTCTTTCAGTGCCTGAGGGTTTTTCACCCTGGAACTCTTCTGTTGCCATCTCACCACACAATAATTCTCTTCATGAATGTGGGAAAATTGGGACACTAATGCATTGTTGGTGGAGTTGTAAACCGATCCAACCATTCTGGAGAGCAATTGGGAACTATGCCCAAAGGGTAATCAAATTGTGCATACCCTTTGATCCAGCAATACTACTACTAGATCTGTATCCCAAAGAGATCATAAAAAAGGAAAAAGGACCTACATGTACAAAAACATTTATAGCTGTTCTTTCCGTTGCAACAAAAAATTGTAAATTGAAGGTAAGTCCATCAGTTGGGGGGATGGTAATCTATTCTCATTGTCCTTTTATTTAGTTCATCATATCTTAGGTCTTAGACATCTCATAAAGTTGTCTGGTTTCTGAAAACATCTCATAATACAGTCCTCTATTCCTCTGGAAATCTTTCCTCTTAGGCATTCTGGAATGGATGGGGCTTTAGAGCAGCTTCTCAAGTTCAGGTCACTTTCAGGGGATCCCTTTCTCCATTAAAATCTCTTACAATATAGATCTTAATACGATTCAAGTTTGCTTTATTGATAACCAGGTCAGGTAGTGGGAGCTAGCTCAAACCTAATTAGAAACTTTTAGACCAGAGAATTCACATTTTTCCTGTACTCCTTGCTGCCTCTATCCTTATCTAAACCAGATAATTCGGACACAGTCAGGCTGAAGGAAGGATCTAAAAGAATCTATGAGGATTTAACTTGTAGAATGAGCCCTTTGATAACTGCTAGTGTTTATTTAAGTTTCAGAAAAGAAAGAGACTTCAGTTTAATGCCTATAATGGCCTTGTGATATATGTTAGATAACTGTCATTTTGCTATATTTGGGAAATTCAAATACAGGCTGAAAATTTTTGAGCCTGATTTTTTATATTTGACATTTATAATTATCTCCTCTTATTATTATTAATTTTTTATTTACTCTAATGATTTACTTTTACCTGCTCACTCCCCCCTCAGGAGAATGAGATTCTGCTAAGGAACTGAATTTTTTTTTATAAGAAGATGATCATAACTGAATTCATTTAAAAATTGCCAAATTAGCTTCAGCTATACCAAAAGGTCCTGTGATGGGATGTATAAACACATTGAGTAATCAATTTCAAAACAATACAAATCAAATAAGTTGTTTACAATAAAACATGTTTGCACTTCAAGACACACTCAATACTCAGGTAATAATTCCAAATTAAATAACAAATTCAAATAAAATTGACGTTTCCCATCTAGGTAACACAAGATATTCCATAAATTACTCTTCTCTAAGGAAACTCATAGAACTCAAATTCTTTCCTTCAAAACAAAACCAAAGATGTTTCTGATTTAGTTTTTTTTTAATTTTAATTTTTTTATTTAGTCCTAATAATTAATAGAATAACAGCTTGGTCCCATAAACTATTGCGTCAATATCCAATTATTCTTACATTGTTTTGAAACATTTAAGGACATTATTTTATGCACAAATATCTATAGGTAGTAACAAGAAGATGACAACATCAAATGCTCATTGACAGTTGTTTGGAATATAGAAAAAACTAAAATTCTGTGCTAAATAGCTCTCATTTTGCATCTTATTATAGTTATTCATCATTATATGCATGTTATTATAGTAGCTCAGATGTGCCCCAGTATTAGCCTATGAGATAAAGATTTAATAACGTTTATACTGGTTTATACCTGCCTTGAGGCTGCATGCAGCCTTCTAGGACTTGTGGTGCAGCCTTTTGACTGAGACCAAATTTTATAGAACAAACCCTTTTATTAAGGGGATTTGTTCTGTGAAGTTTGGATTCAATCAAAGAGCCACACTTCAGAAACTAGGGAGCCTTATATGGCCTTGAGGCCCCCGGTTCCTCACCCCTGGAATAATCTTTCTTCTTAGCTATGAAATGATAAATCTGAATCTGTTATTAAAAATGAGTAGGAATCTCATATAATTTACAGCGAAATCTCCAATTTCATATATATACCAATTTAAAAATTATTTCTTAATTGAGTCCTACTTCACTTTAATTTGCAAAACTCTTAAGCATACAATTAATATTCTTAACATTTCCTTACAAGCCTATTTTTCTTGTGTCAAATTCCATCCACCTCAGAAACTAACAAGCTGTATGATCCTGGGCATGGGCCTGTTTCCTCAATTTTTTTTTTTTTGCTAGGCAATGGGATTACGTGACTTGCCCAGGGTCACACAGCTAGAAAGTGTTACGTGTCCAAGGGCACATCTGAACTCAGGTCCTCCGGAATCCAAGGCCGGTGCTCTATCCACTGCGCCACCTAGCTGCCCCTGCTTTCTCAATTGTTAAATGAGGGTGATAGCACTTAGCTCACAGTGTTGTGAAGATCACAGTAAACTTTAGCTATATAATCAGACTTTAACAAAAGGACAGAATTCCTTTACCGTAGTTAATATAAATTTATTTACAAATATTTACACCCAACCTCAGCAACACAGTCCTGAATCGGAAGAACCACATTTGTATACCAAATATATACGCATATGTATATATGTACTACGCCATTGCCATCCTTGCCCCTGAAGGGTTTACAACCTAGTCAGGAAGCTAAAACAATGAGAATGCTTAGGAAGCTCTGCAGCTGCGAGGGTAAACTGTGGCATTGAGGGGATGTGGGGTAGAAGAAAACAACTGTTAATGAGGTCCCTTGAAGCTAACATGTCCCCTTCCGAAGAACTGCTTAAAGGTCTGGGCAGACTTTGCAAGCGGAGCTTTTAAATTTGGCCTTGACAGCTTACCACGGATGCTATTTTTCAGAGGCCTGGAACATCAGGCACTTTCCACTGTATAGCCAAGTAAAGAGCTTCTCATATTCATAGTGTGATAAGATTTGGAGCTGGAAAGAATCTTCTAGTCCAAACTCCGTCAAAGTGTCCCCAATTTAACTGCATGGAAGACGTTTGAGTTTTTCCTGCTACCCTACCCAGTAGCCTTCTATGGGACCAGCGGCCACTGTAATAGTCCAACAGCAACCACTCCCAGAGTTCAGCACACAATTCAATACAGATCAGCAGCTGCAGGACTTCCGAGTTATTCACACTTGGCACCTGGTTTCTCCGCCCGCCCATCCTAAAGCAGGAACGTTGGCACGCTGGACGTATATGCCCACACCACCCTAAACACGGGCATCAGCCAATTCCGCGACCCAGTCCCACCGGGACACATATCATCCCCCTCCAGACAGCTCAGCTGCGCTTACGGGGAGAGGCGAGTTAGTAGCGGCAGGATACCCGTAGCAGCTTCAGCCGGGGGGTGGTTTAAGAGTCTGAACCAAAGTGGTGCAGAGAACCGAGAAAGGGAAGGGCACTAAGTCGGGGCTGCGCGTTCTTTCGTTGGGTTTGGGACTCTCGGAGAAAATGGAATCGCGAGCGCTACGACACTGCGCAACTGTGGCGCTTGCGCATCACTGCCCGGGACGTTGGGACCGTCCCCACTGCCCCATCTGGTGCTCCCCCAGGGAAAGTCTGGCGGCGACGGCGCAGCAATGGGCTGAGGCGGCTGAGGCGGCTGGGCAGGTGCACGAGCTGCAGGAGCTCCTGGAAGAGGCTCAGTACGTTGTCTCCGAGCTTGGCGGACGCCTCGAGGTAGATGCCGCCCCACTCGAGCTCCACGGCAGCGATCACAGCGTCGGGGAAGCTCCCGCTGGGCGCCAGGTCGCTTTTGTTGCCCACTACCACGATGGGCGGCGGGCTGGGCGCCTCGCCCTTGGTCTCCAGGATCTCGGCGCGCAGCCGCCGCACCTCCTGGAAGGACTCAGGTTCCTGCAGCGAATAGACCAGGGCGAAGGCGTCCCCACGACGGATCCCTAGCTGCCTCATGGCCGGGAACGAATAGCTGCCGCTCGTGTCCATGATCTCCACGCGCACCTGCTGCGCGTCCAGCTCATACTCCAGGCAATGCAGTTCCTCCACCGTGCGCTTGTGCTGAGCCTCAAACGTGTCCGCCAGAAAACGCTGGATCAGCGCAGTCTTGCCCACGCCAGCCGCGCCAAAGAAAACCAGGCGCACGCTGGACTTGGGCTTGGCTGGGTTCAGGGCCATGGTGTTGGAGATTAAGGGGACCTACGAAGGATAGACCTGCACGGATTGTGGAGACACCTCAGTGAATCTCGAAGTTAGGGGTATCACATAAAAACATCCTTTTTTGACCCAATTCCCCTCTTTAGAGCGTCCGACCCGGCTAGCCTGTTTTTATATTATGAATTGGCCAATAATGGCCCGGGGAGGGGACCCAGACCGAGGGCTACTATTGGTTAAAAGAAAATACATAATTTAAAAAGCCTCCCTCCTCCCATTTACGTCCTCCTCGCCCCTCCCATTTACCTGCTCCTCGCCCCTCCTATTTACTTCCTCCCTCTTTACTCCTTTCCTTCCTTTCTTCTGTTCTGGTCACCGACTGTTTCGAGCTTTACTGATCCCTGGACGCGAAGGGCTGTGCCCCACCCACAGGGTTCTTCAGCCTTAGGTCACTTGGCAGGCTGAGATGAGGACGGAGAGGCTCAGGTGAAGTCGAGTACGCCACTTTTTGGAGAGAACTGTCTCAGGTTAAGTCTGGGAACGCTGAGGACGTGTGTGTGTGTGTGTGTGTGTGTGTGTTAACAACACTGCCCCTGCTATAGGAAAAGTCCGCTAATTTCCTCTCCTGTAAACTGCGTTTATGGCCGCTCAAGTGAACAATAAAAGTTGTGTGTTCTGAGCTGTGCTTGGCACTAACGGCAATACTAGAGAAGCAGTAACAAGATTTACAGAGCACCTGCACAGATGTTTCATCTAGTCCTTGTAACAACCTAGCTAGAATAAAAAAAAATCCAAATAAGTTTATTCTTTACTGGTTTACTGGTTGTAAGCCTAACTTCAGCTTTGGCTTCCTTTTCCTTCACCACAGTTGTGAACTTAAACTCAATGTTATTAGGAAAATTTTATTATCTGGAAAGTATTTTCTCCCGGAATGTATAAAGCACTCAGGCCCAGAGTTTATAGTTTGAAACAATATTTGTTGAATTGAACTGTCATAGTTTACAATTAGTTTTTTTGTTGTTGATGGTATCTTTTTTTAACATCACCTTAATTTTAAAATATGTCCTTCCTGTCCACCCAACAAGTTATTCCTTTATTTATGTACAATGTACACTTAAAAATCACCCACCACATTTTTAGCTAGCACTTTACAGATTTGGAGTCTTCCTGATTTTGTGCTCCTTCACAAGTAACCAATTTGCCATATCTGTTACACGACCATGGATCTAGAGATGAAAGGAACCTCAGAGAAAATTCTAATATAACTCTATTTTTTTCTGAATGAATGAAAAAACATTTGTTAAGCACTTACTACGTGCAAAAAAACACAAAATGAAAGGCAGCCCCTTTCTCTAAAGCCTGATTAATGGTCACTGGTCTCTGCCTTCAACTCTCGAGGACAGTAGTTTTATTCTGATGATCTATAGATGGTGTGAGGTTCCTTAGCAAGGCAAAGGCCCATTCTTCTCTTTTTCTTTTTCAAGGCAGTTGCAGTTAAGTGATTTGCCCAGGGTCACACAGCTAGCACTTAGCAAATGTTTGGTCTGAGGCCGGATTTGAACTCAGGTTTTTCTGACTTCAGGGCAGGTGCTGTATCCACTGAGCCACCTAGCTGGCACCCCCCCCCATTCTTCTGATAACTGTTCTCTGTGGTAGTTCCCACTGCCATTCTGGTTTTCAGCTGGCTGGAAGAACAGTTTTACTAAGCTATAATGATCACTTTTGTGTAAAGTCAGCCTATTTTCTCTTCCCCACCTTTCAGTGAAACATTGAACAGTATTTTATAAAACATTATTTATTTTATTATTTGTTGTTATTAATTTTTTAAAAAGTATTTTATAATATCAAATACCCAGAAGGTGTTGTAAGGAGGTTTTATCTCATCTGGCAGGTTTTGGGTAGTGGTTGTCATGATAGTTGCTTTGTTTTCCTCATCCTTTCCTGGTGATTTCTCTGTAACTGTCTATCTTAAGTGTAAACATTCCCCTCTGGGGTGGGGTTCAAAGTTCATCCCTCACAGCTTGCATTTGTTCAGCTGGCATGGGAATTACTAAGGTTTCCTCACCAAATCAAAATTGCTTTTAATTGGCAGTTTTGCTCTAAATTCTGGCAATAAATGAGAGAGGCAACAAGGTGCAGGGGGAAAAGGTGGTAACTACCTGAGTGATGATGGACAATCACTTAACCTCTCTAGTTTCTCCATCTGTAAAATGTGGAGGTTGGACTAGATGACCTCTGAGGGCCTTTCCAGCTGTAGTTCTATAATCCAGTGATCCCTTCTGGTTCTGAATTTTGATCCTGTGATTGTTGCTTGAGGATGTCTGAGTACCCCTGTGAAAGGCATTTGTTCTGGTAATCCTACTTATCCTCATACTGAATCCCAGTTGATCCTGTGCCTTACTTGAGCCAGTATCCCTGGATGGAAGCTCTAGTTACCTGGTCAACCCACTCAACTCTTAGTTGCAATTCTGATTTCTCTGTCTCTTTATGGAGTATATCTCTAGTTTCCATTTTTTTTTGTTCCCCTTCAGCAGAACTATCAACATTAGAATAAGCCATCAGGTATGCTGTTGCATTGAATGATGCCATCAAACAGATGTTACCATTTAGTGGTTCATGAACCCTTCAAGCATTCATGATGATAGTTCAAGAGTTTTGTGCTAAAAATTCTTTCACAGTTCCTAAAGCAATAAATAATCGTCAGATTGTGTTACAAATGTATTTTTCTTCTGCGACAATAGGTATGTGCATGTGTGAAGCGCTGCAGGTTTTTTTCTGCAGCTATTTGAAACTGTCATGAAACCACGCGATTTTGGTGTTTGTGCAGTGATTATATCTAACTCTGCTGCTGAGTAAACATGATGTTTCTCAACCTGTTATCACTTTATTTTCAAACCACCGCAAGAGTTTGACTTCAGAGTATAAACCGATTCCCAGTATACGGTCAGATGCTTGTACATATCCTTATTTGTGTTTTATACATTACGCCAGAGTAGCTCTCTCTTTTATCCTGTTAATAGTACCTTATCAGCTATGTAATCAGATGATCAAAATGTTACAAATTTTTTGCATTTTTGCAGCTCAAATGTCAGGCTGTTTAGGAAACTGGCATCACTGGCCATGTGCATTAGAAGCCATCTTGAAATCATCATGTATCATCCCAAATGTTCTACAGAAAAAAAACTTTATATTACTTCTCATTGCCACATTAAGATTACTATTTTTTATTTTTGGTTAGCAATGAGGTTAAGTGACTTGCCCAGGGTCAATCAGCTAGTAAGTATTATGTGTTTGAGGCTGGATTTGAACTCAGATCCTCCTGACTCCAAGGCCAGAGCTCTATCCACTGTACCACCTAGCTGCCCCTAAGATTACTTTCTAATTTAAACTTATCCTCCATTTATGTTATTCTGTCTGGCAGATTTTCAAATGAACTGGTTGGCAACACTGGTCAGTCATTAAGAAGTGTTTCTGTGACAGTGTAACTATTGTGCCAGTGGTGGAAAAGAAGAAAGTCATGTCTGAAGATTTTTTTTTTCCCCTACAAAGGTTAGTTTATATAGACATGATTTTTTAAATGAAGCAATATATGCAGTTGAACTTTAAGTAAGATTATTATTTAGTACATTAGAAAAGTAAATATTTGCTGTTGTAACTAGTTATTCATTTTTACAGATTGGTTAGATGGCCAAAAATAAAAAAGAATTTCTATCTCTCAATAAAGGAAAAAAAAAACCAGTACAGGAATAAGGAACCTGCAACCTTGAGGCCACATGTGGCCTTCTAGGTCCTTGGATGTGGCCTTTTGACTGAGTCCAAGTTTTATAGAACGTATCCTTTTATTAAGGCAATTTGTTCTGTGAAGTTTGGATTTATTCAAAGAGCCACACTTGAGGTCCTAGAGGGCCACATGTGGCCTTGAAGCTGCAGGCTCCCCACCCCTGGTGTCGTGTTGAGCCAAATACTGTAAACTTTTATTCAAATTAAAAAGTCTAATATCAAATAAAATTTACACATGGCTATCATACTGTGTTAAATACCTTCCACCTTGTAACTTATTTCATTAAAATGTTACTTAGTTAACAAAATTTGTAAGATAAAGAAATTTTATATAAAGTGTTGTAGATAATAGTAAGCATATGAGGTATTGCTGGATTATTTCTTTTAGTTCTTATTGTATGTCTTACATAAAATATTCATAATTATTTTATAGTTAGTCTTCTATAAAATTTGAATTTTGATAGTTACAGGTAGAATAAAATTTTATGATTTATAGTTATAGTTCTGTAATATAAATTTTAATGTGGACCTCTTGGGGCCAAAAGTTATCATTGTAGTTATCATAAGTACTTAATGAATAAATGTAAAAGAATATTATGAGTATTGTATTAAATTACTTTTGGGATTCACAAACCTTTTTTTGTTTTTGTTCAAAGGGGTTTATGGAACAAAGAATATTGGAAACTACAGTGAACATTTCTAAAGGTTCCAATTTTTCCTTATTCTAATAACATTCCCCACAAAGAATATAAAAGAGTATAAATTGCATCCCAGAAATTTTGGTATGTTGTTTCATCATTATCATTTTCTTTTACATAGTTGTTATTTATATAATTTGTTCTTTGACCCACTCATTATTTAAGATTTCATTTAAGTCTTCATTTGGATCTGTATCTTTTGTTTGCGGTCCTTGAACCAATTTCTAATTTTATGGCATTATGGTCTGTAAAGGATGTAATAACTATTTTTGCCTTTTTACATTTGTTTGCAATATTTCAGTGTCCTAACACCGGGTCAGTTTTTGTAAAAGTTCCATATGGTACAAAGAAATACGTGTTTTCTTTTGCTGTCCTATTTAGAAGATGCCATAGGTCTTTTAACCCTAGTTTCTCCAGAAATTTGTTCAGTTCCCATTTTCCCTTTGTTTATCATGCTGTTAGACTCATCCAAACCTAATAGAGAGATGTTGAAGTCTCCTGTCACTATTGTGTTACTGTGTCTTCTTGACCCTCATATGTTTCCTTTATGCATTTGAATACTAAGGCATTTGGAGCATTTAAGTTTATTACTGATATTGGTTTGTTGTCTATGGTTCCTTTCAGCATAATATAGTTTTCTTCTTTATCCTTTTTTATTTCTTGAATGTTTGTTTTTGCTTTGTCTGATAGCAGGAAGGCAACTCCTGCTTTTTTAGATTCATTTGACACATAGTAAATTTTTTTCTCTCCCCTCAGTTTTATTTTGTATATGTTTTTGTTTTTTTAAATATATTTCTTATAAGCAACAGGTTGTAGGGTTTTATGTTCTTATCCAATCTGTCACTCTTTTTCATTTTATTGGATTGTTTAATCCATTCATATTTAAAGTTATGAGTTAGGTATATATTTTCCTCTATCTGTCTCTAGAATTGGTTTTTTCCCCCAAGTTATGCTTTCCCCTCTACCTTTTGCTGTAAACATAGTATTATGTTCCTTCAGCTACTTTAATGTTTTTTGTAAGGTGGCCCTGTTCCATATACATATATATATATATATGTATGTGTATATGCATATATATACACATATATATATATTCCCTCCCTCTTTTTTTCTCTCAGTCAAGTAGATTTTCCCTTCCTCTCCTCCCCTTCAGCTAGTCCTGTTTATTAGTTTCTTAATTTTGTCTTCTGTATCCCTTTCCAAAAGGGATTTCTTCTGCTCTTCACTATCCATCATCTTTTCCTGCTTACTCTAGACTCTCATTCTCTGATTCATAATGTAAGCTGTTTCTTTTCTTTGTATTTTTCATATAATCAATCTTCATATAATCAATTCCAAGGTATCCATTCTAGGCTCTGCCCTGTAAGCACTTTCTACCACTGCCTTGTAGGACTTATCCCATGTACTTCCCTTTTCCATTGTGCCCAGAATAACACCAGTTATTGCAGGTGTCAGAGAAGACATTGTCCCAAGGTAGCAGTTATGATATTATAATGTAGTCCCACAAAAGAAGCATTCACCTGTAAGCACAGTGTTGCCAGGTTTTGTCTTTAATGCCCCTTGTCCACCTTTCACTGTTACCTCTATTAGATTTCCACCTTCATCCCTGTCTCCTTGTACATTTAAAAAGGAGTCTATTAGTAATTTTTCTGTTGTCATTCTGTTGCTATTGCTGTCTGCATTTATTCATTCCTCTGATATTTCTGTTGTTTGGGGTGTTCAAGAAGCAAAAAAATCTCTTTAGTTCAGGTTTTCTTTCTAAAAGTGTTTCAAACTCTGCTCTATTATTGAACATCCATCTTTTGTCCAATATGATTAAGCAGATTTGCAGGATAAGACACCTTGGGCTGCATCCTGAGCTCCATTGCTCTTTGTAACACATTCCATTCCTTCCTCCTTTTTCTGGTGGGTGCAGAATAGACTTGTATGAAGGTGTTTCTCCTGATGGTTTGTAGAACTTGTTTCTAAATTGAATTGTTAAATTGAATCCCTAAGTGTCTTGGAGTTTGCAGCCTTGGTTTTTTTTTCCCCTAGAGGCAATCTGTGACTTCTTTCAATCGGAATTTAATTTTATATGTTCGAAAGTTCTGGGCAGTTCTATTCATTTTTTTCTTCATTATAGTATTCAGGTTTTTGTCCTGTCATGTTCTCCTGGGAAACCTGTAATCTTTAGGTTGTCTCTATGCATCCTGTCTTTGGGGTCTATATGTTTTGCTTGCCTAGCGAGCGTATTTTCTTTTGATGTTCTTGTTGTTTGCTTCTCTTCTTCTAGGTTGTCCTTTACTTCTGCATATTTGCATTCCCAATATAGTGTGCTCTCTTGGTAAGGCTTACCATTGCAGATTGACGTTTTTTTGTCCTGCTCGTTATTTTTGCCGTGCAGGACATAACTTCTTGCTCACATAATTCTCATTTCTCTTTTAAACCAGTCAAGAACTGTGTTGTGGTTCCATATTCTCAGATTCCATGGAGTCTTCTGTCTCATGAAGTCTCATCATGTTCCTTTGTTTTGCAGTATTTATAGATGCCTGTTCTTGTTTACTAGATCTAGAGGCCATATTTCCTTCGGTTTTTCCTGTTGATTTAGCTCATTACGTTTAAGGTCTTTGAGTTTGGTTCTTTGTGAGATCTTTGGTACTTTCAGTGTCCCCTTCCCCCTTGTTTTCTCTACTCCTTGTTTTCCCTGTTACTTTTTGACTCCCTTCCTTCTGATTGTGGTTTCCTTGGCTGGATCTCAAAGTGTCTCAGCCTCCTCTCATACTGAATTCCTAGTTTACCACCAGCCTAGGTCTTTGCCCCAACTGGTCAGAACTGGCTCCAGCAGGGTCCTGTGCTCTTTTCCTGAGCCTTGGTAGAGCGCTGCATAGCCCCCAACATGAATGGTGTCCCATCCTGGTGACCTGTCTCACTCCCTCTGCTTCTCTGGCGAGCACTGGTAGTTCAGAGCTTTTCAGAGCTGGTGCTTCTGGATTGCAGCCCCTGGAGGTCTTGTCAAGGCCCAAGCAAACTTCCAAAGCCTGGAGCCAGAGTCTCCACAGTACTAGAAAGAGAGAGGGGAAACTGGGATGTAGGGGGTGGACTTCTAAGTAAGCCTATGTCATGTCCTTGTATCTGCCAGTGAAGCCTAGATGCTGGCAGTGTATGAGATGGGGGAATAGTGCTGAAAGAGCTCGGAATCAGTAAGAATCCGTTCGTAGTTGTTGATTTTTTAACCTTCTTTTGGATTTTAGATGTCTTAGACCATGGAGACAGCTGAAGTTGCTTTATCTTTGGCGCCTAATTTGTTTTTGAGAAATTTGAGAGATTGGGGGCATCAGAGAAAATGTTCAGTTTGCCATATTGTTGCTCATGTGATCTAGAAGTTTCCAAGATTATAAATTAGAGATTAAACTGCTGATCTGCACCAGTGGAGAGACTTTTCACAATGAGAATTCCCCACAATGATAAAAATTATTGCTTGGGACCAAAAAAATTATTTGGCCTGGGATCCTGTTAATGGTACCAGATGTTGGAGGTAGAGAGGGAAGGGCCACAGAGTTTCTTGCCTTTTTTGGTTTCCTGCCTAAGGGCAGTCCTAGGCATAAGAAACATTAATCTCTTTCTATGTAAGCAAGGTAGGATGGTTCTTTCCCCAGGAAGCCCTTTCTACTACTAAGCACGTTTTCATACGGCTTATCATGGTTGATTTTATTCCAAATAACTCAGCCTTTATCCTACATGCCCTACTGATAGTAGTAGCTAGCATTTATATATCACTTTAAGGTTTGCAAAGCACTTTACAAATATTAAATCATTTGATCCTCATCACAACCTTGGGAGGTAGGGGGTATTATAATTCTCATTTTACAGATTCAGAAACTGAAGGTGAAAAGAGGTTAAGTAACCTGCCCAGGTGGCACTTGAGGAAATATGGAGGCGGTAAAGTGGATAGAACACTCGACCTAGAGTCAGGAAGGCTTGAGTTTGAATCCTGCCTCAGAAACTAACTAGCTGGGTGACCCTGGGCAAAACGCTTAACCTTTTCCTGCCTCAGTTTCCTTATCTGTAAAATGAAGATGATAATAGCCCACTTCCCAGGGTTTTGTGAGGATCAAATGAGATATTTGTAAAGCACTTTGCAAACCTCAAAGTGATATAAAAATTCTGGCTGCTATTATTATTATAAGAAACAGAGGTGGAGAGGGAAGGTTTTTCAGGAAGGAATAACAAGGAGGCCAGATGGATTCAAACCTATTTTTCTGAAGGGCGTTAATGTGTAATAAGCCCAGAAAAGTGGGCTGAGGCCATATTGTGAAAACTTTAAATGCTAAACAAAGGAGTTTGTATATTTTACCCTAGAGGTGATAAGCAGCCAGTTAAAGCTTCTTGGTCTGGGCTGAGCTGTGCTTCTTCCATTCCTTACTTCTGGCTCCTGGGTGAGTAAAGTTCAAAGGCTTAAAAGCAGTTTGTGGGCTAGAAGTTTCCAACCTGTCAGCTGTGAGCCCCTGATGGGAGGGAGTGGAAGACTCAGGTTATTACAAGGTGTCTATAAATGCCATCAAGCATTGTCAGTTTGATCTTTCTTCAGGCCCTGTAAGATTTGCTGTGTGAATAATAGGGTTTGTGTCCCTGGGTTTTATATTACCCATACTTCATTTTTGCCTAATGGGGATCTTTTCCACTTGGCATTCTGAAATAAAATATAACCTTTTCTTCTGCCAAGATGCCCCTCCCAAAGTGTTCTGTCTGAATTATTTACTTTCAGATTTCACAGCATCCTTCCTGAAGTGATATATATTTTAACCGGATTAAGTGAGTCATTATGTTATGGCAAAAGGGACAGAACATTCACTAAAATCTAAACAACATGTACTTTCTCAATCCACAAAAACTCAAACAACATGATAGTAGTAAAATGCCTATTATGAAGGTGTTATGTGAAATTTTTTGAGGTTAAAAGAGGAATGTCTTAATACACAAAAGACTTAGGAATCACTATTATAGGCCTTTTTAAAAATGTACTATTAATAGGATCAGCTAAGGCAGGAACTGCTTGGCCTCTCTCTCTCTGTCTCTCTCTCTGTCTCTCTCTCTCTCTCTCTCTC